CTGGCGCATGGGGGGGCGCCTGAGTTTTGTCCTGCCTAGGGCAGCACAAAACCAGGATACACCACTAACCTGGAATAGCCTTCCAGTGGGAGCAGTGACAGTGATATAGAAAGTGTAGTGGATACCTGGAATAACATTCCAGTGGGAGCAGTAACAGTGATATAGAAAGAGTAGTAGATACCTGGAATAGCCTTCCAGTGGGAGCAGTAACAGTGATATAGAAAGGGTAGTAGATACCTGGAATAGCCTTCCAGTGGGAGCAGCAACAGTGATATAGAAAGGGTAGTAGATACCAGGAATACCCTAACAGTGGGAGCAGTAACAGTGATATCAAAAGGGTAGTAGATACCTGGAATTGCCTTACAGTGGGAGCAATAAGGCCAACAGTGATTTAGAAAGGGTAATAGATACCTGGAATAGCCTTCCAATGGGAGCAGTAACAGTGATATAGAAAGGGTAGTAGATACCTGGAATAGCTTTCCGGTGAGAGCAGTAACAGTGATATAGAATGGGTAGTAGATACCTGGAATAGCCTTCCAGTGGGAGCAGTGACAGTGATATAGAAAGGGTAGTAGATACCTGGAATAGCCTTCCAGTGGGAGCAGTAACAGTGATATAGAAAGGGTAGTAGATACCTGAAATAACCTTCCAGTGGGAGCAGTAATAGTGATATAGAAAGGGTAGTAGATACCTGGAATAGCCTTCCAGTGGGAGCAGTAACAGAGATATAGAAAGTGTAGTAGATACCTGGAATAACCTTCTGGTGGGAGCAGTAACAGTGATATAGAAAGAGTAGTAGATACCTGGAATAGCCTTCCAGTGGGAGCAGTAACAGTGATATAGAAAGGGTAGTAGATACATGGAATAGCCTTCCAGTGGGAGCAGTAACAGTGATATAGAAAGGGTAGTAGATACCTGGAATAGCCTTCCAGTGGGAGCAGTAACAGTGATATAGAAAGGGTAGTAGATACCTGCAATAGCCTTCCAGTAGGAGCAGTAACAGTGATATAGAAAGGGTAGTAGATACCAGGAATAACCTTCCAGTAGGAGCAGTAACAGTGATATAGAAAGGGTAGTAGATACCTGGAATAGCCTTCCAGTGGGAGCAGTAACAGTGATATAGAAAGGGTAGTAGATACCTGGAATAGCCTTCCAGTGGGAGCAGTAACAGTGATATAGAAAAGGTAGTAGATACCTGGAATAGCCTTCCAGTGGGAGCAGTAACAGTGATATAGAAAGGGTAGTAGATACATGGAATAGCCTTCCAGTGGGAGCAGTAACAGTGATATAGAAAGGGTAGTAGATACATGGAATAGCCTTCCAGTGGGAGCAGTAACAGTGATATAGAAAGGGTAGTAGATACCATGAATAGCCTTCCAGTGGGAGCGGTAACAGTGATATAGAAAGGGTAGTAGATACCTGGAATAGCCTTCCAGTGGGAGCAGTAACAGTGATATAGAAAGGGTAGTAGATACCTGGAATAGCCTTCCAGTGGGAGCAGTAACAGTGATATAGAAAGGTAGTAGATACCTGGAATAGCCTTCCAGTGGGAGCTGTAACAGTGATATAGAAAGGGTAGTAGATACCTGGAATAGCCTTCCAGTGGGAGCAGTAACAGTGATATAGAAAGGGTAGTAGATACCTGGAATAGCATTCCAGTGGGAGCAGTAACACTGATACAGAAAGGGTAGTAGATACCTGGAATAGCCTTCCAGTGGGGGCAGTAACGGTGATACAGAAAGGGTAGTAGATACATGGAATAGCCTTCCAGTGGGAGCAGTAACAGTGATATAGAAAGGGTAGCAGATACCCGGAATAGCCTTCCAGTGGGAGCAGTAACAGTGATATAGAAAGGGTAGCAGATACCTGGAATAGCCTTCCACTGGGAGTAGTGACAGTGATATAGAAAGGGTAGTAGATACCTGACCATCTGGTGCGAGAGCAGTAACAGTGATTAAGCAGAAAGTGCAGTGGTGAGCACTGGAATAGCCCAAAGTGCGGAAGCAGTAACAGTGATATAGAAAGGGTAGTAGATACCTGGAATAGCCTTCTAGAGGAAGCAGCAAATGCTTTCAGTGAAATAGAAAGGGTAGTAGATACCTGGAATAGCCTTCCATTGGGAGCAGTAACAGTGATATAGAAAGGGTAGTAGATACCTGGAATAGCCTTCCAGTGGAAGCAGTAACAGCGATATAGAAAGGGTAGTAGATACCTGGAATAACCTTCCAGTGGGAGCAGGAACAGTGATATAGAAAGGGTAGTAGATACATGGAATAGCCTTCCAGTGGGAGCAGTAACAGTGATATAGAAAGGGTAGTAGATACATGGAATAGCCTTCCAGTGGGAGCAGTAACAGTGATATAGAAAGGGCAGTAGATACCTGGAATAGCCTTCCAGTTGTAGCAGTAACAGTGATATAGAAAGGGTAGTACATCCCTGGAATAGCCTTCCAGTGAGAGCAGTATCAGTGACATAGAAAAGGTATTAGATACATGGAATAGCCTTCCAGTGGGAGCAGTAACAGTGATACAGCGCGACGGAATTTGTTGGCGCTATATAAATAATAAAATAATAATAATAACAGTGATATAGAAAGGGTAGTAGATACCTGGAATAGCCTTCCAGTGGGAGCAGTAACAGTGATATCGAAAGGGTAGTAGATACCTGGACTAGCCTTCCAATGGGAGCAGTAACAGTGATATAGAAAGGGTAGTAGATACCTGGAATAGCCTTCCAGTGGGAGCAGTAACAGTGATATAGAAAGGGTAGTAGATACCTGGAATAGCCTTCCAGTGGAAGCAGTAACAGTGATATAGAAAGGGTAGTAGATACCTGGAATAGCCTTCCAGCGGGAGCAGTAACAGTGATATAGAAAGGGTAGTAGATACATGGAATAGCCTTCAAGTGGGAGCAGTAACAGTGATATAGAAAGGGCAGTAGATACCTGGAATAGCCTTCCAGTGGGAGCAGTAACAGTGATATAGAAAGGGTAGTAGATACCTGGACTAGCCTTCCAGTGGGAGCAGTAACAGTGATATAGAAAGGGTAGTAGATACCTGGAATAGCCTTCCAGTGGGAGCAGTAACACTGATACAGAAAGGGTAATAGATACATGGAATAGCCTTCCAGTGGGAGCAGTAACACTGATACAGAAAGGGTAGTAGATACCTGGAATAGCCATCCAGTGGGAGCAGTAACAGTGATATAGAAAAGGTAGTAGATACCTGGAATAGCCTTCCAGTGGGAGCAGTAACAGTGATATAGAAAGGGTAGTAGATACCTGGAATAGCCTTCCAGTGGGAGCAGTAACAGTGATATAGAAAGGGTAGTAGATACCTGGACTAGCCTTCCAGTGGGAGCAGTAACAGTGATATAGAAAGGGTAGTAGATACCTGGAATAGCCTTCCAGTGGAAGCAGTAACGGTGATATAGAAAGGGTAGTAGATACCTGGAATAGCCTTCTAGCGGAAGCAGCAAATGCTTACAGTGAAATAGAAAGGGTAGTAGATACCTGGAATAGCCTTCCATTGGGAGCAGTAACAGTGATATAGAAAGGGTAGTAGATACCTGGAATAGCCTTCCAGTGGGAGCAGTAACAGTGATATAGAAAGGGTAGTAGATACCTGGAATAGCCTTCCAGTGGAAACAGTAACAGTGATATAGAAAGGGTAGTAGATACATGGAATAGCCTTCCAGTGGGAGCAGTAACAGTGATATAGAAAGGGTAGTAGATACATGGAATTAGCCTTCCAGTGGGAGCAGTAACAGTGATATAGAAGGGCAGTACAGATACCTGGAATAGCCTTCCAGTTGTACTTATTAACAGTGATATATAGAAAGGTAGTACACATCCATAGGAATAGCCTTCCCAGTGAGAGCAGTATCAGTGACATAGAAAAGGTATTAGATACATGGAATAGCCTTCCAGTGGGAGCAGTAGCAAATTTGATACAGCTAAAAGATTTGATGGCTATATAAATAATAAAAGTAGCCTTAACAGTGACCATATAGAAAGGGTAGTAGATACCTGGAATAGCCTTCCAGTGGGAGCAGTATTAACAGTGATATAGAAAGGGTAGTAGATACCTGGACTAGCCTTCCAATGAGGAAGCAATAACAGTAGTATAGAAAGGTAGTAGATACCTGGAATAGCCTTCCAGTGGGAGCAGTAGCTGTAGTGATATAGAAAGGAGTAGTAGGCCACCTGGAATAGCCTTCCGGTGGGAGCAGTAACAGTGATACAGAAAGGGTAGTAGATACCTGGAATAGCCTTCCAGTTAGAGCAGTAACAGTGATATAGAAAGGGTAGTAGATACCTGGAATAGCCTTCCAGTGGGAGCAGTAACAGTAATATAGAAAGGGTAGTAGATACCCGGAATAGCCTTCCAGTGGGAGCAGTAACAGTGATATAGAAAGGGTAGTAGATACCTGGAATAGCCTTCCAGTGGGAGCAGTAACAGTGATATAGAAAGGGTAGTAGATACCTGGAATAGCCTTCTAGTGGGAGCAGTAACAGTGATATAGAAAGGGTAGTAGATACCTGGAATAGCCTTTGCATTGGGAGGCAGTAACAGTGATATAGAAAGGGTAGTAGATACCTGGAATAGCCTTCCAGCCCAGGCAGCAAATACTAACAGTGAAATAGAAGGTAGTAGATGCCGCAGGGCCCAGCCTTCCAGTGGGAGCAGTAACAGAGATATAGAAAGGGTAGTAGATACCTGGAATAGCCTTCCAGTGGGAGCAGTAACATTGATATAGAAAGGGTAGTAGATACCTGGAACAGCCTTCCAGTGGGAGCAGTAAAGTGATATAGAAAGGGTAGTAGATACTTGGAATAGCCTTCCAGTGGGAGCAGTAACAGTGATATAGAAAGGGTAGTAGATACCTGGAATAGCCTTCCAGTGGGAGCAGTAACAATGATATAGAAAAGGTAGTAGATACATGGAATAGCCTTCCAGTGGGAGCAGTTAACAGTGATATAGAAAGGGTAGTAGATACTTGGAATAGCCTTCCAGTGGGAGCAGTAACAGTGATATAGAAAGGGTAGTAGATACCTGGAATAGCCTTCCAGTAGGAGCAGTAACAGTGATATAGAAAGGGTAGTAGATTCCTGGAATAGCCTTCCAGTGGGAGCAGTAACAGTGATACAGAAAGGGTAGTAAATACCGGGAATAGCCTTCCAGTGGGAGCAGTAACAGTGATATAGAAAGGGTAGTAGATACCTGGAATAGCCTTCCAGTGGGAGCAGTAACAGTGATATAGAAAGGGTAGTAGATACCTGGAATAGCTTTCCAGTGACAGCAGTAACAGTAATATAGAAAGGGTAGTAGATACCTGGACTAGCCTTCCAGTGGGAGCAGTAACAGTGATATAGAAAGGGTAGTAGATACCTGGACTAGCCTTCCAGTGGGAGCAGTAACAGTGATATAGAAAGGGTAGTAGATACCTGGAATAGCCTTCCAGTGGAAGCAGTAACGGTGATATAGAAAGGGTAGTAGATACCTGGAATAGCCTTCTAGCGGAAGCAGCAAATGCTTACAGTGAAATAGAAAGGGTAGTAGATACCTGGAATAGCCTTCCATTGGGAGCAGTAACAGTGATATAGAAAGGGTAGTAGATACCTGGAATAGCCTTCCAGCGGAAGCAGCAAATGCTAACAGTGAAATAGAAAGGGTAGTAGATACCTGGAATAGCCTTCCAGTGGAAACAGTAACAGTGATATAGAAAGGGTAGTAGATACATGGAATAGCCTTACAGTGGGAGCAGTAACAGTGATATAGAAAGGGTAGTAGATACATGGAATAGCCTTCCAGTGGGAGCAGTAACAGTGATATAGAAAGGGCAGTAGATACCTGGAATAGCCTTCCAGTTGTAGCAGTAACAGTGATATAGAAAGGGTAGTACATACCTGGAATAGCCTTCCAGTGAGAGCAGTAACAGTGACATAGAAAAGGTATTAGATACATGGAATAGCCTTCCAGTGTGAGCAGTAACAGTGATACAGCGCTACGGAATTTGTTGGCGCTATA